AGAATACCTGACGTTAGTATCTGAGCACCTTGCTTGCAAAGAGATAAATGAGGGCAAAATGATTCATGTTGCAAATAGATTTCCCACATTAAAAAAAAAAAAGGTCCCAAGGTCTCTTTTAATTAGCACCTTCTAAAGTATTTAACAGGTTAAGTCATTGGTGGCGGGAGAAACTTGAAACTGAAATGCTCTAAGCCATGACTGCTGGTAAAGGATCAACCAGAAATTAAGAGAAAGCCAATTTGACACGATTATGATTTTTAAAATGAGATGCAATTTGCTCAGACATACATTTTCATTTTACTAGAGAAGCAGCTAAAATGCAGGACTGTCGGCAGCCTCAAACCTCCACTGTCATCTCTGAAAAGTCCTCCCGTCCTAACCTCTCATGAGTAACCCAGAGTTCTCCTTTTTGCCTTTTCTGGTTTCGTTCTCTGAAATAACATAATAAATCTGTCCTATGTGTCTCCCGAGGACGCTTTCAACAACACTGCTTTCCCCAAAGCCCAGAGACAAAAGTGGCCTGGTGGGGATGTGTTTAGATAGAGTCAGATGATTTGCATTGTCCCAGGCTGGGTCCCCTCCCAGTGTCAGGTCTCTGTTGCCCGGTCACCCCATTGTTTGTGTGTGGGGTGGGGCTGGGATTTCTCAAGCTTTGATTCACCTCCAGAAATGAGTGTTGCCTGTTCCTTCCCCTCCCTGACGGAGTCACAGGCGCACACCTGCTCTCAGGTGTCTGCTTCCTAGAGACGGAAGAGGCAGGACCTGGCCTTCTGGTTTCAATACAGCACAGTCCTTAGAGGATGAGAGCTCAGATGCAGAATCAGCCGGGGGGTGGTCCCACAGCTCCAAGGCGGGTGATGGGATTGGCGCCCACAGAGTTGCCATTCCACATTGCTTCCCAGGGCCTGCCTCACCTGCAGGGGTTGTTTACATGCGGGGATTGATTCCAGGGGTGCTAGGAAGTCTCCCCTCCTCCTTTGAAAGATCAGCCCACTCCCCCAGCCAGTCCAGGTGTCCGGAAATCCGCCATTGCAGATTTCAGAGACTCCCTTCTAGATTCTGGATGCCTCGTCGCAGCCAGTTTCCTCCTTGATAAAACGTATGATACAATTTAGCTTCCTTCACAGAGTATTGCGAAACCTGTATATGGAGGTGCTTTATAAGGTTTAATGACTACTAAAAATGCACCTGTGCCTGGCCGTGTGGGGGGACAGGGATGAGTTCAGGTCTCTCAGAGAAGGGAGGGAAGACAGTTTGGAGGGGAAGAGCATCTGAGAGCCAGGAAGAAAGAAGGGAGGCTGGTGCCACCAGAACCAGCTCCCTAATTTTGTCATTAGAGTAGCCTCTGCGAAGAAGCTGCCCCATGGCTTAGTGATCTCAGCTAACTGAAAACAGCTGTGAAGTCAGGAGACCTGCGAGCCAACCCTGGCTTTGACATTAACCCCTGTGCGACACTGAACAAAGCATGTCCCCATTCCAAGACTCAGGTTCCCCCTCCATATAATGCAGATGATGTGGTCAAAGGAAAGGGTTTTGAAATGTTTCACGTGTTGATTGCATACGAGCTTGACGCGTCTTAGATACGTCCGACCTAGAGGACAGCCATGTCTCTATCCCGGCTCCCTGGCATATCCTCTGAGATGACAGTCGTGGCATAAGCCAGGGTTTGTCACTAACTAGAATCCTCCAAACTCAGCAGGAGATGTTGACCGAGGAAGTAAGGAGCCAATGGGCAGACTGGGAAGACTAAGGACTGGGGTGTACGCCAGAGGAGCAGGCGGGTGACTGGGACACAAGGGGACAGTGCTACCCGTCCATTCACACACAGCACACTTATCCTGGCACCGGCCGGGGGCAGGCATTGATTTGTGTCCACGCCAAATCCGTCTGGCTAAGGTTCAGTTCCCTTCTGGACCGTCTGTACCAGGATGAGCACAGTGGTGTGGGCGCGTGGGGGTGAGGGGTGCAGGTGGTGAGGGTTTCATCTTGAAGGTAGAATGCAGAACCCGGAAGCTGGAACGCAGAATGTTCCAGGCTTGAAGGTGATAGGCTCGGGAGGAGGTGGAGGAGGGCTCCTGGCCTAGAGGGGGAATTTAGAGAAGGCTCAACTTTTAAGTAAGGCTGACCCGGAAAAATGTACAATATCCAGTCGACATAAGACAGCAAGCTCGGGAAAGATCGTTAGTCATTGTCCCCAGCGAGTGACCATCGCTTGTCCACCGAGACCACATAGTGAAAAGGAGCTGTGGACCAGGGTCCCAGCCAGCTCCACCCCTATTAGCTGCATATGTTCTGCGGGTCATTTAATTTCCCCAGATCTACTTTTTTCAACTGGAAAATCAGATTGAAACGACCCGACAGAGCTGCCATAATGATGAACTAAGGCCAGGCGTTTGAAAATGCTTTGAACCGTCCTTGTAGGTATTTCTCTCTTTTCTCAGGCAGCCTTACACTTTGCTCAACGATGACACAAATTGCACACTGGCCTCTAGTCGGGGAGGAGGCTGAGGTTCGGGGCAGTGGTCCAAAGGTGGACGGGCCTCCCAGACTGGTCCTGCCTTCTCCATCCCGGAGGCTAAGAGCCCAACTCGGGGAGCAGGCACCTTCCTCCCATCTGACTAGGTCCTTGAGGACAGCTGCCAGATTTAGCAGATAAAAATACAACCTGCCCAGCTGCAGTTGAATTTCAGATAAACCACAAGTAATTCTGTAGTATATCTCATGCTATATTTGGGACATGCTGATATCAAAAAAAAAATCTGTTGTTTATCAAATTCAAGTTCAACTGGGTGCTTTGGGTTCTATCTGAGGCCAAATTCAATCCCACCCTCTTGACCACCACGAATACCCCACAGCACCTGATTCTTCGTGGACAGGTGGGGGGGACACAGCACCATGTTGATTAAGCTTCAGGGTGCCATTCACACTTTCCTGCTTGTGCTCAAGGGGAAACGCTTAGAAGCTCACACAAAAGGTCCCGACTGGACTGGGAAGCATAGGACTGCGTAGCTGATAGGCTGGGGGCTGGAGAGCTCATAGCTACACCTCGCTTTCTCCCTCTGTAAGGCTGGGTTCTCTGAGTCCTCTAAACCTGAGTTCAAATCCCATCTCTGTTGTGTACTACCTACATGATCTACGTGGTGACAATGACATTTGTCTTACAGGGGCTATAAAGATAAATGAAACAGTGGCGTGGGGTGCTCTCAGCACTGGGCACCCCTGAGTGCTCCCTGAATGCCAGCAAAAGTGAGATTCATATTTTTGTCGGAAGTCCCCCAAGCCCACAGCGCACCCCCGCCCCGCCGCTGCTTTCTCCTCCATCCTTAACGTTCCTTATGAATCCTCAGATTTGTTCTACTTTTAAAAGATCTTGAGTTGCAGCAAAGACCTCAGGTGGAGAAGTCAGCTCAGGTAGATGGGGACGCGGAATGTGGGAGTGTGTAGTGGGTGTTTTTCATCAAAACAGGCCAGTAAAGCAAGTCCTTGGAGGAAGTGCAGGTGGGAGAAGTGGGTGAGGAATTTTCTGGGAGCATGAGCAGGGCCACGCCAAGTGCCTGGGGCAGGTTGGGGGCCCCTTATAAGGCTGCCCGCGGTAGCTGGCCATAGACCGCGTTCAGCCTTCTCTCCTGGGGTCCACCTTGCACCTCCGGTAAGTGGAAACGCATTCATCCTCCTGGGGTGTGCGGGGCCCTCTCCTCCTCCTTGAACTGTCTCGAGCCGCTAGGCCAAGCGCCTCTCCTTTCTCGGGTAATCAGAGCAGACACATAAGCCCCGTGACCATTAAGGAAATGTCACACTAATGGTGCCTTAGGAAATTCAATCTCTTCCACACCGCTGCTGGGTGTGACTGATTTCCTGACTCTGGGTTTGACGCCCTGGCCAGAGGATTTTTCTCATTGAGGGGAAACCGGTAGAGCTGTGGCATTTTGTAGTAATTCGGAGCCTCCTCCAAAGTTTGCTCATGCCCTTTTGGCATGACCCACAAGCTTTTCAAGGTTGCTTTTTAGGTCTCCAGAAACGAGTGTGGTACACATTGCATTTTATACGACGCATCTCCCATCTCTCGCTATCACGATTGTCCCCTGGGACCTATCCTTTCCATTTATAGCCACAAATGTAGAAAATGAGAGATGCTGCCCACAAAGGAAAACAGGGACGCACGTCAGCGCTGGGAAGGCTTCAGAGACCTGCCAGGGCAGCGTCCTCCAAATGAGGCATGGGGTCCAGGGGAGGCACCCTACCCAGGGCTGTGGCTGGCCAGCAAGCAGTCCAGGCTCCTTCTCCTGAACCAGGCTGCCTCTGGTAAACACTTTTCCGTAATAGTCTCTTACCTCCAATGATCTATTTGGCCTTCAATTCCCCAGCTCTCCATGGAAGGCTACAACCACTGTCCCTCAGGCAAGTTAAACAAGTCTTAGCATCATCCCCTGGTGAGTCAGGTGGAGCTGGGATTAGAACTCAGGCTTCTGCGTTCCTGGAACAGGTTTTATCCAGCCCATCACTCACACACATGACGCTTCCATCTAGGACAGTGATCGTCCCTGCCTTCTCCCTCATGCCCGTCCATCCTGGCCCACACTCTCTGTCTGCACTACCCAAGGTGTCTGGTTGACACTGCAGACCCCATCAGCTAAGCCCTCATGCCTTGATCTTGTAAAATGTCTGGGCTTCCTTTTAATAGTCAGCTCCGCACCCCCATCATAGGTCCTGGTGAGACTTAGAAATAAACTATGTATTCAGTTAAGCCAGGAGTCCATGGGAGGATGGAGGAAGACAGGAGATCAGAACAGCAAAGAATAAAGAGACGGGGGAAGGGGAGATCAAAATGGGTGCGTGTGAGTCACCACTAACCGGGTGGAGGCTGTCCCTCACTTATCCTATCCTTGGCTGGTGGAGAGAACACTCTTCCAGAAGTCAGGGGGCAGAAGTGATGGAGGGAGCCCTTCTCACGGCATCCCCTGCCTGGGGCTCTTTCAGGCTCACCTGTTCCTGCAGCGATGTCTTCCCAGCAGCAGCAACAGCAGCAGCAGCAGCTGCCCCAGAAGGCCCAGCAGCAGCAGGTGAAGCAGCCTTGTCAGCCACCGCCTGTCAAATGCCAAGAGACGTGTACACCCCAAACCAAGGAGCCATGTGCTCCCCAGGCCAAGAAGCAAGGCCCACCCAAGGGCACAGCCGTCCCTGCCCAGCAGAAGTGCCCCTTGGCCCAACAAGCCCCGAAGAGTAAACAGAAGTAAAGGTCAACTGGAATGTCACCTGCCCACCCTCCGGGCCACCAGATGGAGCCTTCCTTCTCCCTGCTCCTCTGCCCCCAGCTTCAGGATTTCTCCTTCCTCCCGCTTCCTCCTCACCCTTGCCTCCAAGTCGGCATCTATACCCCAGCCTGATGCTCTCCCGGGTGGACACAAGAAGTCTCGTCACCTCCAACCTCCAGCTTGACCACAGCGATGGCACAGCCATGCCCCAGTGCAAGCAATGTGTCTGGGCTTCTTCTAGGGTTCCACCCTGACTGGTGGGGACGCCAGGGGCCGATCACGGCTTCTGCCTCATTCTCTCCCCCAGCTCCCCCTCTCTCAGCTCCTCTTCTGTTTTCCCCCTAATAAATCTGTGCTTCATGTCATTGTCTGTGTCCCGGCTCCAGTCTGTGATCCGTCCATTTGTTCAGAGGGGACATGTGGGGGAAGTGAGTGTGTGAGCACACACATGCCCAGAGTGCACCCTCATCGGCACAGTTGCTCTCTGGTAACTGCCAACGGGGAAAGTCACATCCTGAAACATCTCAGGTAAAGGAGGGGGCGACCCCAGGGACCAGCTGACAGGAGCCTGGAAGAGCCTTGCTAACTAATCGTATCAAGGGAAGGATAAGGGGCCGAGAAGTATAGCTCCCAGCATTAGAAGCACCCAGCCTACCCAGCCGATGTTTGGTGTTTTGTTTTGTTTTTTGGAAGTTGTCATTCTAAAACAGCAGACAAAACAAACCAAAATGACATTGAGAGCACTACAAAGCACTTCTACAAACACGTGCCAATGAATTCTTCACGTATTTGTTTAGTTATTGTCCATTCATTTACTCATGCCCTCACTTACTCCCCCGCCTGTCTAATATTCAACGAGCTCTCCTAGGAATTTAGTTCCCACTCTGCCATGCTGGTTTTTCAGGGCTGTCCTGGGACTGTCTACCCGTCTCCGTCTCCTCTGTGGAAGTCACACTCCTTTCCTAACACAGGAAAAGGTCATTCCAGGGATCGCCACATACAGAGTGTCTGCAATTTAACAATTGGTTTTGTCAATTCGTCCAACTTTATACGGCTTGTAAAAAGAAGCTCTATTTTTACAGCTGGCTTCCTAACTCTGGTCGAGACTGGCTGCCTGCAGAAGAAAGCAGCAGCAAACCTTCCAGACACAAAAAGAGATGAGTCTTTGAAGGAGAGATTTTGCGCGGGCCAAACACACAGCCAGGTTTTCTCCCCTTGAGCTTTATTTTTGCCTCAGATTTGCTCACTGAACTCTAGTTGGTCAACAGCAATAATAATAAATCGCGTCTTCATTGAACACTCTGGCCTGAAAAGGCCTCAATAACCACTTTCTCCATTTCTCCTTAAAGTCACTATCCGTGGCTCTGGGTATTTCCAAGTAGTAATTACTTAATACTCAGTGGGCACAGGTATTAACCAGGGGTGTCAGTGTGTCCTAAAAACAGTTAAGATTCCGGAGTGAACGCTTATCATTGAACAATTCGGACAGTCCTCGCATCCTGAAATAACTCCTCTGCCAGGTAGAAAGCTGGTGTGCCTTACACACCCCTGGCCTGGCCAGATTCCTGGTCACATGGTTTTGAATGCCCTTTCCATGTCTCCCAGGAAGGCCCTGGCAAGCCCTCCAACACAGACTTTGAATTCCAAGGCTGACAGATCGGCACTGACTTCAGCTAATTGGCAAGATACGTGTGACTAAAACAATGAGTGATTCCACTGTAGTCTGCATCTCGGATTATTAGCTCCACGGGGAAGAAGGGACATCAAACCCTTCCACACCAGTGGCCAAGGGCAAAGTCCCATCTCTCATTGACTATGTGAGGTCCCACTCCCTTCATAAGAAAATGGTGGGTTTATTTTTTTTTAACTTAACTCCACCCATCAGAGGTTCACAAAGTAACAGTGTCTTATATACGAAAATCTCATACTCATGATGCAAGAAGTGAGATGCGTTCATACCTGGCTCCCCTTCACCTAAAGTAACACAATGTCAGAACACAAAGGGACATTATGCATCATTTGGTTCAACGTCATGGCCCAAAGAACAGCTCTCCCATAATTCCTACACACCCTACAGTATAAAAGCTATTGGAATACCCCAGAACTCCCCTATAAGACCCAAAACATACCACAGTCCTGCAGCACCAGATAATTACTTTTCCCCAGATACATTATTCAATTTTGATACCTCTGTTCTTTGAACATACTGCTCCTTCTGCCTAGAATATCAGCTCTCCACTTGGCTCTCTAGGAGATCCTGTTAGTTTTCAAGATCTGGTTCAAATATTTCCATGGACCCTCTCTTAACATTTTAGAAAGAACTGAAACCTCCCACAGGCCCTTGTGACACTTTGTACAAATTTCTATTATTAAGTAATATAATTATTTTATGAATTACGCATGTCATTTTTGTATAATAGTTCACCTTTGTGTGTTTAATCCCCCTATTAAATTATGAGCCCTTGAAGCCCGGTAGTCTTACTGTTCTTAAGAGCCCCCAACTGGCTTTTCCAAAATACTGAAGAATGAACTTCTGTTCCCGAGTGGAATGGGGTAGCATGTGGTAAACCAGCAAACTAGTATAAATCTGGAATCAATTTATAAATTATCTGAACTCATCTGGGGGCCCTAAAACTCCAGAGAGGGGAGCTTCAGAAATGAGCTGAAATTTGGTGGGTGGTGATTCCATGGGTGCATATGTATATAAAAAGTTCGTTGAGTTGTATTGAAGATTTGTGCTTTTTGTTAGCTTAACATCAATAAAAATAGAGACGAACGTTTCACAATATAGAAGTGGATCAAATCACCACATTGTACACTTTAAACTTACTCAGTGTTATACATCAATTGTATCTCGATAAGGCTAGGGCGGGAATAGAAACAAACAAAAAAAAGTGCTATCGATTACCTTAACTAAATTTAATGAAATATTTATGAGACCTTCATACTTAAAATATATAACAATATTAAGAGAAACTAAAGAATAACTAACAAATGAAGATATGTACCTTGTATTTGAAGATTATTACAGTCTGAAAGAGTCATACACACACAAGTGTCTGAATCATTACCCAAAAATGGCATTGTGAACAAACGAGAAAAGAAGAATACTTTTTCAGTAAATGGCAGTGAGTCAAATGGACATTCATACGGAACAGGTACACCTGAACTCTCACCTTACGCAACCACAAAAATAATTCCTGGCAAGCTGTAGATCTGAATGTGAACGTTAAAACAATATGTGATTTTAGAAGAAAACACAGAAGAATGTCTTTATTGACCTTAGAGTAGGCAAAGATTTCCTAAACAACACAAAAGGGCTATTTATTTAAAAATTAATAAATTTGACTACATTAAAACTAAGAACTCTGTTCAACAAAAGATATTATTAAAAGACACAGACTTGGAGAATTGTATACACACCGACTCACACACACATATATTCAAATGTACAAAAGTGTATATTGGACCAAATACATAAACATATATATGTGTATATACAAGTATATTATAGACAAAGCATTATATTCAGGATATATAAAAAACTCCTAAAATCAATAGAAACTACAGAACACCTACTGGAAAAATGGCCAAAGACTTGAATAGGTACTTCACGAAAGAGAATGTCCAAATGACCATAGAACAGGATGCTGAACACTAGTGGTATATTCACACAGTGAGATACCACACAACAGAGAGGCTAGACACACTACCCTACATCACATGGGTACATCTCACAAACATAATCTCGCTGGGAAGAAAGCAGATGTTAAGAGTACATATGGAATGACCCCATTTATATAGGATCAGGGTGACTGGAAGTTGAGATGAGGGAGCTTAGGGAGCTGGTCAAGTTCTGCGTCTTTATTCGGGTGCCCAGTAGATGGATGCAGTCACTTTGTGAAAATTCACTGAGCTATGTGCGTTTTCCTGTATAAATATTATACTTTTAATTATTTTTTTAATGTTATATGAATTTAAAAAGTACTTAGGCAAGATTTCCATCCTGATTGACTTGACAACTTGTCATTTTTCTCACTGTTCCTGTGCAGACTTCCCTGATTTCCCAAACCCCACCCACAACAAATCAGGGAGGTGAAAATGATATTTCTGTTCTTCAGAGGAAAAGAAAGTGTACTATATTTAGAAATCCTCTAAATGCAATAGGGAAGCTTCCCGCTATCCTGCCTTCTCATCTTTCCACTTGCCCAGAAAACTCTTTCCACCACAGGGACACAACACCTGACCCCCATCTGACCGAGCAGCCCACCTGGGTAGTCGCAGACCCAGCCAGCATCCGCCCTGCCACCTCCTCTGGCCTGGAGTCCTTGAGGCAAGGTGCCCTGACCTTGGCATCTGTGTGCGAGCTGTTCTGACACTTGGTTCCCTTCAAGGAAGGAACATGGTCTTTCCTGCAGTCAGACTGCAAAGTGGACCCTCAGCGTCTCCGTCTCCCAGCTGCGCCATCGTATCCAGGCGCTGAGATCCCAGCTTTAGTTTTTGCACACGTGACAAGCTTGAATGGTTTAAGTACCATTATTTGCAGAACTTTTGTGAGGCTTGGTGTTAATGTCTATGAATTGGCTGGATTTAGCGTATGCTCAGTAAATGGTTGATCTTATTACCGCATAGAGCTGCGGAAGGTGACTGCCAAAGCATTCGCCTGAGGACACTCCTAGAGAGTGGCCCCATGGGAGCTTTACACTGGCCCAGGAATCGATGCTAATATGGAACTGTGGTGTCCTTCCCAGCCTGGGGAACACTGTGACTTGGGAGAGAAGAGATGTGGGTTCTGGTTCTGGCTCTGTACTAAATAGATCTGTGAGCAAGCCCCTTCACCTCTGTCCTTCATCCATAAAATGACAATTGAGTTGGATGCCTTCTCCCCACGAGAGGAGAAATTATGTGGCTCTATGCATTTTCTGGGCTTTTGCATGCTTGTGGGTCCTGGTCTCTACCGCAAACACACTACCCCCACGAGA